AATCTTTGCTTCATTTTTATTTTAAAATACTGTCTTTTTCCTTTGGAAAATATCAGTACTAGACTAGTAATGAAAGTTATACCTCTGCAAGCAGTGATATATTTTGGGCTACTGGCAAAACCTTGAGAAACTGGTGAAAAAAATGCCAGAGAAATAGGCATCAATATCATTGATGAGAAAGGTTATATTTTCTCCTGCCTGCACTATTGCATAATCAGAAAAAATCCCAAAATATATCTGTCCCTTCTGGAATGACTGAGAAGTCCCAATTGCAATGAAAATATGGAAAAACAGTTTCCATAAAATCCAATTTTCTTTCTTAATAAACATAATGCATTCAAAAAAGAGAGATACATTTTTGCAAGCCTTGCCTGGTAAACTTGGGGTTAACAGGGCTGATACCCCACTACTATCTCCCTGTGTGTGTTGCTGCTAAATGCAGTTGCTTGCTGATGGAATGCCAAGACTTGCACTTAAAAAGAAGCCTTGCTCAGTTTTGTACCGAGAAAAACAGTCTTGTAGTGATGAAATACTATACTTTTAACTTGGGAAAAAAAGCACCTAGAAAATACTTGCTACACCACAACACTCTGAAATGTACTTTATAACAAAACTATCAAAAGTACAGAATTCTTCCAGCTGGCAAAAACTCAGTAAACTTTCTCAGTAATCTCTTTGACAAAGTTTTCCTTTCAGACTCTGACATGCATGGGGGAGGGAATCCACAGAAAGGAAATTTGTGATTCTGTGGTGGAAGGAAAGCCGTGAAAGAGGAAGGGTGAACTAAGGTGACTTGCCTGGATGGCTTGTAACAAATGTCTCCTTAGTGTCACCTTTATAGTGAGAATTACAATGGGATGTTAATGGACACAAAAAAGAAGAGCATAAATAACTATAGAAAAGACTCTCCACTTTGGAGATTATTATGGAAAAAATAATCTATGAATTCTAGTGCACCATAACCTTTATGTCCTAGTGCTGCACACAGGCTACTTCTCAAAAAAATCCTTTCCAACTGAAACCATTTTATGATGCTATGTAAATAATATTTGTCAACAAATGCTTAACACATGCTTTTGCTGTACTTACTGCTGCCTGACTGTGCACAGGACTCAGTCCCAAAAGCCATGAAAGCAGTTTGCTGGTCCATTCCATAGGTTCCTCAATCTGCCTTTAGAAGCACAGAAATTATCTATTCTGTTAGTACTTCATCATGAAAATTGCTGCTATTCCCAATATACATCTTAAAAGTTATTACTGTATTCCATAAAATGGAATACAAAAATAGAACCTCATGAAAAAATCCTGTCCAGCTCCTCAGCCTATAGCTACTTTTAGGAGTCTGCTCAGGTCCTCTGCTTCCTTGCAAGACTCTCATTCAATTTTTTAATGGGTCTTGCTGTTAGAACCCTTTCCACCATCCATCCCATTAGCAGTAGTTTCAGAGCAAAGCGTGCCAGTGATGCCAGTACATCTAATGGATCTGTGAGTCTGCATAAGGAATGGTTAGTTTCCTTAATCCAAAGGATGCAGGACTATAAAGGACTATACAGTGTGGATGTAGGTTAGTGTTTTGGTAAAAGGCAAAAACTAAGAACCATCCAGATCAGGAAGGGGGACATGCATTCACAGGGCAGCAAAGCCAGGAGAAGAAATTAATCCAGAAGAGACAAAGATAGGTAAACTCATCTGTTTAACATGGTCAAATATTAATATTGGTACTTGGGGTAGCACAAACAACAAGTGATTATCCTCACATTGGCTCTACAGTTCAAAAGCTTCCTACACAAATGCAACAGTCTGGACAAACTGGAATTTCAAGCACAGAATATAATACATAATATCTGGTCACTTCCTATGTAGTAAGAATTGTCATGTGATGATGCAGGGGGTTGTTATTAGTTAGCAGAAGAGCTTAGTGTAAAATAATCCCCATCAGAGACTTGAGTCAAAGGGCTTTTAACTGGAGAGTGGCTATGTTACAAGGCGCAATGTTAAAATCCTTTTCTGATTTTTCATCATCCTTTTCAATCCCTAGAAAACTATCAGCTCCTGTGAATAAATATGTTTCCCAATCTATTGTCTAAACTCAGCTCACACTATCTGTTCAGTGATAAGTTATACCTATTCTGTGTATTGCTTTCAAAAGCACAGAAACAAAGAACAGCTTTACATTAATATCGGCTGAGCCTCTTGCTTTTTCCTTGAGCTGCATCTACTAGAGCTGTTCAACCTAAATCCCTTCTTCCTTAGAGGTCCCATTCTCACTTTCCCTGTAGCAAGACAAGGAAGCAGTCTTAGGCTCTCATAGGTCATAACCTTCCTTCTAGACTTATTTTCCAGCAACAATCAACACAGGCTAGAAAAAGCCAATGTAATGTTGCTGTAAAGCCTCGTTTTTCTCTCAGAGGGATTTAAACTGATGGGAACAAGTGGAAAAGCCATGGACACGCAGTTCCCCTCCTTTAGTCCACTCAGGGTCATTTTGCTGAAAGCAGAGAGGGCCTGCTAAACTATATCCTTCAGGAAAAGGGCCTAGACAAAAGCACCAGACTCAGCATACCATATATTTGATTTAATTGTAGGAGGTGTTTGTGCCCAGGCACTGGCAGCAGGGACTGCCAGACAGCCTCTCTGAAGAGCTGCTGGGACCACTCCATGCCAATTCCAGCATATTCCAACACACCCACTGCAGGGCATGGCTAAGCCCTGCAGCCAAGGTGGTGGCACCTCTGGGAAAGGGTATTTAAGAAAGGTACAAGCAGTGGAGAATGAGGGGGAAAACATGAGAAACAACCTTGTGAGCACAGAGGTCAGAGAAGAAGGATAGCAGGACGTTCTCCAGGCACTAGAGCAAAGATTCCCCTGCAGCCCATGGTGGCCTGGGGAGGATCCCATGTCAGAGCAACAGGATGTGTTCTGTAGAAACAGCATCCCTTGGATAGTCCACGCTGTAGGTAAGGGTTTGGTTTTTTTCCCTGAAGGAACTGTATCCCATTTGAAGGATTCATTTTGGAGGAAGGGAAATGTATGAGGAGGAAGGAGCAGCCAAGAGGAATAGTTGTGGACTGATCACAAACCTCCATTCCCTATCCCCCTGCACTGCTCAGGGTTGGGTAGGAGGTATAGGAGTTGAGAATGAAGGAGGAAGCTGAGCCTAGGAAGAAGATGAGGAGAAAAAATTGTTTTAATATTTGTCTTTGTTTCTCACTACATAAATCTATTTTAAATGGCAATAAATTACATTATTTTGCCCCAAGATGAGTCTTGTTTAGCCTATGACAGTAACTGGTAAGTGACCTTCCTGTCCTTACCTCAACCCCAGAGACTTTCATCTTATTTTCTACCCATATTTTGTTGAGGAGAGATAATGAGAGAGTGGTTGGGTGGATCTGACAGCCAGACAAGATTAACCCACCACTATAACTAAAACCAGAATTAAGACCATCCATCTTCCCAAAACCAAGGAAGATACTGTGGCAAATTCCCTTTTCTTCAAGATACAGTGTTAGAGTAAAGCTAAGCATGATGTTCCCTCCTTTTTCCTTTTCTCAACAATGAATGTGAAAACATTTCTGTTGTAACTGTAGTGCTACACTCACACATCAGTTTTTGCACTCACAAAGACAGCAAAGTTATGTGCTATTACTGGACCTCTGAATCACATTCTACCATGTCTTTATTCTGAATTTAATGACTTATTTCATAGATAGGAAGAGATGAGCTATGAAAGTTTTTAAAGGTTTAAAAGGCCTGAAATTCACTTTCTGCTTTCTTTGACTTTGATTATATATCTATATATAAATATGCACATATGTCTATATAATATTATATATTTTTCTATTTGTAGGGGTGAGGTTTTTATTAATTTTTTGTGGGGTTACCTAGCCAAGATAACAAAGCACAAAAAATTGAAAAATGTGCAGTAAAAAGAAGGACAAAATTTCCATTAATTGTAATGCATTGTAGGATCTACAGTGTGACAGTATATTCAGAACACTTTTTTCTGGTAACTGACTTCCCCTCCTTTTCCCTTGTATGCCATGGTGCTGTGTGGTTAACTTTTAGTTTTAGAACATCTGTGAGTTCTAGGGCTACATTCAGGATCAAAGGTCAGCAATTAACTACCCCTAACTTTGTTAGGTTTTGTAAGAACCATATGGAAGAGTAGTTCTGGAAAGAGATTGATCACTTCTCTCAGCAGGAAACAACTAGAGCAAGGACAAAGGAGACTATATGAACTCCTCAGCCCTATCTCCCCATGGAAAAAAAAAGGATACCTTACAACAATGCAGCAGATCTCTACTTTTCCTAATTTTTAACACATAAAAACATCATGAAATATGCAAGGACATCTTTTATATTAACTTTTCTTTATTTTTCTTTATGTGGGAAATATATGAGATATGTGACTGCATAAGGAAATCCTCTATTGGTGCTTCCTCCCCTAGGTATTTTAGGAGTCCCCTGGAGAAGGCATGAATGTCCATCCCTATGGACATCCCACTAGACATGAACTAGTTTTCTAATAAGAGTCTTATTGATTACCCAATTAAAGTTCTAATGCCTTCTTTTTTCAGTCCTCTGATCCTATGTCCTCCACGTTCACACAAATACAAATGCAACAAATCTGCAGCATTTTATCCTTTACACAGGCACAAGGATAGAATCAAAGGGTAATTTTGTCTGTCTTATGTGTTCCAAATGCTTGGCCAAGGTTCTAAGCAAAAAAACTTCTCAATATATACTAATTCACCAAGTATGAGACATATTAAAATCCTGCTTTTTATTTGTCAGTGAGCTTTTAATGTGAAGAAGAGAAATATTGTCACTTTGTCATAGGGTGCACGAACCCATGCCCTCTCCATCCAAAGGAAATTTCTGAGGTTGCAGTTCAGTGGTATTGAATTCTATCTGTTGCAATAATGTTTTAACAGGACATATATGTAATTTAATACCTGATATCATTTTCTCTCTTTCTCTTCCTCTTTTTTCCTCAGAGCAAATTATGACATCGACATCTAAAGGAATTTTCCGGCCATTTTTTATTATCTTCATTATCCTTGGTTGTTTCATGGCATTTATATTAATTTATATCAAACCAACAAATAGCTGGATTTCTGGTCCTATAGAATCAGCCAGTTCAGTGTTGAAAATGAAGAACTTCTTTTCTTCCAAAACTGATAATCTCAATGAAACTACTGTTTTGATCTGGGTTTGGCCATTTGGTCAGACATTCGATCTAACATCCTGCCAAACCATGTTCAATATCCCTGGGTGCCACCTGACTATTGACCGCTCGCTATATAACAAATCCCACGCTGTTCTCATTCATCACAGAGACATTAGCTGGGATCTGGCTAATTTACCTCAGCAAGCCAGGCCACCATTCCAGAAGTGGATTTGGATGAACTTGGAGTCTCCAACTCATACTCCACAGAAGAGTGGCATTGAACACCTTTTTAACCTGACCCTGACTTACCGGCGTGATTCAGATATCCAGGTGCCTTATGGCTTCATGATGGTTGGTACAAGTTCCTTCACATTTGAAGTACCAAGTAAGGAAAATTTGGTCTGTTGGGTTGTAAGTAACTGGAACCCTGAGCACGCCCGAGTCAAGTATTACAACGAGCTTAGCAAATACATTGAAATCCACACGTACGGACAAGCCTTCGGAGACTACGTCAATGATAAAAACTTGATTCCAACTATCTCCACGTGCAAATTCTACCTTTCCTTTGAAAATTCAATCCACAAAGATTACATTACTGAGAAACTTTACAATGCTCTTCTGGCTGGATCAGTACCAGTTGTACTGGGCCCTTCCAGAGAAAATTATGAGAATTACATTCCAGCAGACTCTTTCATACATGTGGAAGATTTTCTCTCCCCCAGAGAGCTGGCAGAGTATCTTCTGATGCTTGACAAAAATAACAAGATGTATCTTAGTTATTTCAACTGGAAGAAGGATTTTTCAGTGCATCTTCCTAGGTTCTGGGAATCACATGCATGTCTTGCTTGTGATCACGTGAAAAGACACCAGGAATACAAGTCCATTGGAAATTTAGAAAAATGGTTTTGGAATTAATTTGTGGAGGGTGTGTGTGGGCGTGTGCTTATGTGTGCACTTTTTTGAAGAAGCCAGGAAAGACTTCAGTCCAAGTGGAGAGAAAAGGAAAAGAGAAAAAAAGGAAGGAAAAGAGATTCTCATGTCATGGTTTATCAGTTATTCTCTCTTGGCTATCCTATTTATATTTTGTAAGAGATTTTAAAAGATCAGCAGCAGCAGTCATCAGTACTCAGTTTCAAATCATAATAGAGACACTAATTATGTGCACTGAAGAGTATTTGATTGCTTATTATAAATTTAAAACAAGATTTTCCACATTTTCCGTGAAACATGTCCCGGTCTTACACTTGAAGTAGTCCTTTTTAATAATTGTTTGTTGGTTTTTTTTTTCTTTTTAACATTATCTTTGTTGTTTAACCTATTTGGAAAATGAGGAAACTATTTTTAAATGTCAGAGAAATTTTAAAACATAATTTGTTGTTCCAGACAGAAATGTGTGTAATACTTCAAAAGACAGTAAAGTTTCACATGTACATCTTGCATTTAAAAGCACAGTAGAGTACAATACCTAACATTATGGAAGTGTGATTAACTGCCCTCTTTTTAAGGGCAGTGAACCTAGAATTATGGTTTTTTAAATGTATTCAAATAGTGGATAGTCTTTGTTTCTAAAAATCTTTCCTAACAAATGGGCCCATTATGTTGCTTCAGGAATATATCTCTTCTTACACTCTGAAGAAAAAAGAAATCAGATTTAGAGAAAACTGCCAATCCTGGTGACCAAAGCTCAGATTCATCCAATTTTTGAGTATATTCAAGTGCAGCACACCCTTGGCCCTCAATGTGTCTCAAGTATTTTTTGCCTGAACTAGGGCTTTAAGTAGTGTTACACTGAGATAAATAGATTTTAACAAAGATGTTCAATTACATCAGCCTCATGTACTGAATTCAGCTGGTAATCACGGATTTTTAGAAGCAGTTTGCTGACAAATTTTAGAAAGCTATCTCATACAATTTCTTGAATAATAGTGAATTTTTCCCCAATTCTGCAAAGATCTCTTGAATTATTACTGTAGCTGGACAACTTGATGTTATGACACATAAATGTGGGGAAAAAAATTACTAAATCAATTTTCTGAGAGAAATATGCTGAATTCAGTAAATGAGCTATCAGGCTGACATATAACCTTTCAATTTATTAAGCTAAGGAATTTGGGGGGTTGAAAATATTTTATCTGAGTGGTATTAAACATGCACTCTTCAGAGCAACAACTGCTATCAATATTTGATAATATAAGTAGGTTTTTAAGTATTAAATTTGCTCTAATAGCAAACACAAAATTGTGATGATTGTGACAACTGTTTAAAACGTCTGCTTTAAACATGTGTCATTTGATTTTACTACTTCTTTCTTTCAGCTAAGACAAATTTCTGATTACCATATATTCATATATACAAGGTTGGTTTAAAGACGTGGGTCTGTTTTGGTATCAAATGAAAGCAAATCAGCTTGGATTTTCAGGTTAAAGTGCTGCAAATCACACCTGCTACTGGAAAAAAAGAAAAAAGTTAAACACTGGAAAGACTTATGCTTATGAGATGTATAAGACCCTGATCAAGCAAAGTAGTCAATCAAGTAACTAAGATTAAATTTACAGGCAAGATTTAATTTGCTGAAGTAAGTAAATGAGAGATAAATGATAAATATTTAGCAAAAGACAATGCGACTTGTCAGATTTTTATTTTCTTTTTATTCCAGACTGGAATAGAAACACAGAAGGCTATAATAGTAATTAGTTAAAATTCTATAACTCAAAACCCCATGGAAAAGTTATAGAATCACTTCTGCTCTCCTTATGGTTTCAAAAGCTGTATTCTGATCCAGCTAGCTTTCAATATACTGTGAATCACCTAACTCACCAGCATTCCAGTATACAGCAAGATGAGCTTACCTTGAAAATTAATGCAATACGAGGAAACTGAGTCTTCTGAAAACAAACTTCTGACATGCATGTAATATGAGTAGTATTTTATCATTTTGAAGGCAAGTGGCCATAGCTTATAGTCTGTCCTACAGGATATAATGACATTTTGTTCTCAGGACTGTGAAATTCTCAGTGACTGAACATACCAGTGGTTTGGTTCAATAACCTGATTCCCTCAGTGCTAGAATTTGGAAGTCCTTTGCATTGACCTCAGTGAAAAGTGAATGTGTAAAATCCTTTACTTCATTCCTCACTTCAGATCATGAGAGTTGTTCTGTGTGTTAGAAGGCCTTAGCTCAAATCAGACTGATTTCTTGGCAGCAAGTTCAGCTAAGTCCTTATAGTAATAACAAGCAAGCATATATAAGATATAGTCAGTGTTACTACAAATATTGGTCAGAGTATACACGGCAAAGCTTGGAAATATATACTGAATTTTAATCCTGTAAGTAACGTCTTCACCTCTGTAAGCACAGGATCCAGTCAGCATGGCTAATCTTAGGCTGATTTTTAAGAAATGCAAAAATCTTTTGATGGAACTGGAAAGAGTGTGGGTCTCTTCATAAGAAGAGAAGCTCCACACAAGGCTTGCATTCATTTCATTCAGGAAACATTGCTAAAATTGCTTCAAAGATTAATAAAACAGTAGAGAAATCTAATCCAGAACTATGCATAAGGATCATTACCAAATCCCGAAAAAGTATATATGACCCTAATGCCTCACTGGCATTCTTGAAAAGTAAGGGCTGGAACAAAATTGAGCCAGTATTTATGAAGATTTTAAGGTGATCTGCAGGTATCAGGCCTTAAGCAGTCTGGATATAAAGATCTTTGTTGACAGAAGATGAAGCATTTTTGGGCATGTCCAGGCTATGTAATAAATGTTGTGAAGCAATGGATATAAAACATCTATGTTCCATGCGTGCATAAAGACTGCCTACCTAGACCTAGACACTTAACTCACCTAAGGCTGCTTCCAGTCTGTATCTGACATTCAGCTTTGTCAGGTCTGTGCTTCTTTTGTGATCTACTCTACATGAACAGCAAGCACAAACAGACTCAAATAACAAATCACTGTGAAAGAGAATGTGCAAACTCAACCAACTGTGGAAGGGTAAATTACATGGAACTAGACAAAACAGGTATTGTGCTTTGGTACCACTAGCAAAAGAAGATAATTGTACCAGAAAAGAGAACTAGAAGTTGGGAAATCACATCAATTCTAACAAATTTCTTTCAGACATTCAGTTTATTTTGTTTGCTAGCCCACAAGAGTCTTGAGTTGCACTCATCACAAGTTAACTAAGCAGTCAGTGAAGACAGAGAGTAATCACCATTCTTTCTTTTACAGTGGCTTACTTTGGATGTTTTTAGGCTCTCTGTCATGCACTGAGTTATCAACATTACTGCTTTTCTCAGTGTGGAAAATAAGACCCAAACTAGAAAAAATATAAAGTGCACATGCATTGCTACCCCACTGAATGTGAACAGGTATAAGACAAAATTGGCAGAAGATCCTTCTAAAGCAGTTTTCCTTTCATTTAGTAGACAATGTCCACAGCAGATCTTGCTTAGTATGAGATCTCCATTCCTTAATGCATCCTGTTGTCAGTTTCTTTGAATGCCTCTTTCCATATGTCTATACCCACAGTGAGCAAGCAGTCTGAGAGAGGCCCACAGAAGTGCGAGACATCCAGGAACATATTTGCCTTTTAAGAGACAGATCAAATAAAATGAAAGTTGGAGTGAGAGCATGAATGTGGGGATTTGTAGAGCTCAAGTAGGATGAGCAAGATATAGGAAATTGACACCACGGAACACAATAAAGAACTACTTGCTCATGTTTGTTTCTCAAAGTAGGCCTGAAAAAAACCACATAATTGTCTCCCATCTCTAAACAAGCAGTTAAATAACCAATAACTGTTCCTGTTTATTCAAGAATGGGACACCTGTTGGCCTTGTATTTTCTTTTTTATTAGATGCAGAATGCTCTCTTCAAGAGAAGAGAAGAGTCTGTCACTAAGATAATTATATTTATTATCTAGATTCAAGGATCTTTATTCTTATTTTCTTTTTTGATTTATAAGTCCTCATGCAGCAACACTTTCTGGACACGATTCAAAAAGACCTTAAGAGTATACAGATGACATAAACTTAAGCAAGTGCTTAATTTTAAGAGCATCTTAAAAGCTTTAATGCACTGTGGCTCTAGAGAATGTTTTCATTGCCTTTAGGAATTGTGCCAAAGAGTGTGATCTATAGACATCAGAGACCAATTTGTGCAGCCTCTTTTGCATAATTTACATAATGAGCAAAGAAGGGCTGAGTAGTAAGTGAGTAGTCCACACTGAAAACCTTGGATTCATTCTGATCTGGTGTCTAACCAATAAACCTTGGCCCAACTCTTCTGCTTTGGCATACTAAATGTGCCCCCACCACCTCAGGCCATCCCATCAGCACAGCACCCCAGCTTGCAGCCTGCCCATGGTATGCAGGGTCACTGAACTTCCATGGGACATAAAGAAGCCTGAATGGCTGAGGATGCTGAGATAGTATTTTGAAGACTGTCCAAGGATGAAAACATGAAACCTGCTCATGTCCTAAAATCTGGCCTCAGTGTGCCCTACAGAGAGTCAGTCTCAGCCATACCTGGTTTTCCTCTGAGGAAAGTATTTGGTTCATTCTAGGTGAGACTGTGAGTAATCACTGTGTGTGCAAGGTGGGAACAAGAGGTGTCTCTGTGTAGGCTGACAAGGAATCTTCTGACCTATTTAAACCTAGCAGTGAAAATTAAACAAATACTCAAGTGTTTCTTTGGTCAAAATTAGTATGTTATTGAGAAGAGTCCAGGGGAAGTATTTGCATACCTACTTACCAGCTGGTGGGCTTTTTCATTAATTTTGGCTGACAGTTCTGTTTTGGCAATTTTTTTTGTTTGTTTTTAATAAAAGTGATTTTAAAATGTTAGAAATCAATCGATATGATTCATACAAAATAGTTATTTCACCTCTATCTTTTGCTTCTTGCTTGAGC